CCTTTGACCTTGCGTGAAAGACTCAAGTAATGAGGAAGTAGGGAGTAGTGATAATGAGGATTGAGGGAGTAGTGTTAATGAGGGAGTAGTGAGTACCGGCCACCGGGGGACTACCATTCCGTTAATATAAACCATTAGATATTATCACTCATTCTCGCCCATTGGATTCAGAGGTGATGTACATTACCACTATGTATACTATTGTAGACAATTGTTTTCCATAATTTCTTAACTACACATGTATACTATTGTAGACAATTGTTTCCATAATTTCTTAACTACACATGTCTACTATTGTAGACAATTGTTTCCATAATTTCTTAAGTACATATTAGAATGAGTAGGCCACAACTTAACTATTTAATATTTTTTATAAAAAAATTAATTTTCAATAAATATATAGAAGTTTCCATGAAGTTTTCATATATAATCACAACACTATAATTTTTTATTTCATGATCATCAAATACTTTTTCCCCGTAATACTAATTTATTTATGGAATGTAGAGGATGAATTTTGAGAAATATAATTCAATTCATTACGAAATATTAGTAAAATCAATTGGCAACTTAATAAAAGTTTCTATTTTATTTTGTTTTTGTTTTTCTAAATTTATTGATATTTTATTTCTTACATCTTTAAGAGATGACTAATTTGATATATCATATATAAAAAAATATAGCAAATATAAAAGTTATCAAAATTTAAAATATATCTATAATTAAATTAATCTAATATTTTATAATTTCAGACGTAATAGGGTGAGCATGGGTCAGTACGTTCGGAGATTGAAAAATCTCCGGAACTGTACAAAAATTCGGAGATCACTAAATTCAATCTCCGGAACCATACCAAAAGATCCGGACTGTTCGGTTCGGAGATTTTTATTATTCGGTTTGGTTCGGTATTCGGGACTATTGGAATGGTTCGATTCGTTAAGGTTTGGTTCAGATCTTTGGAGATTTCATATTTTATTAAATTTTTTTTGAATGAGTACCTAGTTATACTTAAATTATATGCTTAAGAAAAACATTAATCAATACTTCATCATATTGTAGATTTTATTTTTGCAATAAACTTTAGAAGTAACTCTAAATTTTACTTTTTAATTTTTATATTCTTTAAAAAAATCAACATTCATCAATATTTTCTCATATTAAAGATTTTCTTTTGAAATCAACATTAGAAGTAACTCTGAATTAATTTTGTGCAATTAATATTGAAAATTTAAAATTCAAACAAAATATAATTTAGTTTTTTCTAAAAAAAAATATTCTTTAATCTTTCATATCATTTTAAATATTTTTTTTATAACAGAAAAAATTCAATTGTGGATCAAGATTACTAAGCATGGAATTTAAGTGAAACTTAATTGTTATTGCTATATTTTATTTGCATTTTGAAAATTCTCAAATTATATAGAATCGAAGTTGACATAAAATATATTAATAATTCTCTTATACAATTTCTTATTAAAAATTTCGAAGAACCATTCTCCTGCCGATCGGCACCATTGGTGTCTTGTCTAGGGCTGAGCATGGTATTTGTAGAATTCTGAAACGTTCCGAAAACCAAACTGAAATCACTCTGAACCGAAAAATAACCGTTGACCATTTGACTTTCTTCGAACCGATCCAAACCGATAAAATAATTGGTACGGTTCTGGAGATTTCACAAATATCCATACCGAGAACCGAACCAAACCGTCCCATACCGTACCGAACAGAAGAAATAAAATTAAGAACCGAATTATAACATTAAATGTGTGTTATTAATATATTTTATGTCAACTTTGATCCTATATAATTTGAGAATTTTTAAAATGCAAATAAAATATAGTAATAACAATTATGTTTCACTTAAATTTCATGTTTAGTAATACTTGATCTAAAATTGAATTTTTTCTGTTAAAAAAAAACGTATTTAAAATGGTATGAAAGGTTAAAGAATATCTTTTTGAGAAAGAACTATATTATATTTTGTTTGAATTTTAACTTTTCAATATTAGTTGCCATATTTTAAATACCGTACCGTACCTGCCAGTAATACCGGTAATACCAGATACCGACCATTGGTACGGTACAATTACACTCAAAATACCGGATTTACGGTTATACCGGTTTGTACCGGGATTATACCATAAAAACCGTAAAATACCGGTCCAAAATACCGGCCAGAAAAAAAAAATAAAAAAAAATAAAATTTTTAAATTTGAAAAAATAAAATTTAAATTGGTAGTTTAAATGTTTTATTTTTATCTCATTGAGAAGTTGAAATTAATGATTATAGTCATTTATTTTTATACTTTTTTGCATTTGGTATTATATATTTTTATGTATATTTATATATATAATTATATTTACTAATCCGGTAATACCACCGATATTACCGGTCCGACCGGTAATACCGCGTACCGGTGGCTAGGCCGGTATGACCACCGGTGCGGTATTTAAAACACTGATTAGTTGCACAAATTTAGTCTTATCTAAAATTTAAAGTTACTTCTAAAGTTAATTTCAAAATAAAATCTTTAATATGAGAAAGTATTGATGAATGCTGGTTTTTTAAAAGCATATTAAAATTAAATAAATAAAATTTGGAGTTACTTTTAAAGTTTATATCAAAAATAAATTTCAATATGCTAAAGTATTGATGAATGTTGATTTTCTTAAGCATATAAAAATTTAAATATAACTAGGAATTCATTCAAAAAAATTTTTAAAAAATATGAAATCTTTGAAGATCCGAATCGAACTATACCAAACCGAACCGTTCCGATAGTCCCGAATACCGAACCGAACCGAAAAATAAAAATCTCCGAACCAAATTGTCCCCATTTTTCGGTACGGTTTCGGATATCAAATTTAATGATCTCTGAATTTTTGTACGGTTCCGGAGATTTCTCAATCTCTGAAACGTACCGACCCATGCACACCCATAGTCTTGTCCTTTTTTCACGCATATATAATTTCATAGATCCATCAATATTATTCTTGAAATTCTTTACGATTAATCTATATATAATAATCTAAAATAGTAACTTTGGGAGCATTGTGTTTTATTGTTTTAGTATTTGTAGTGTCCGTAGTGTTTTGAGTCAGTGTTTTGGTTTCTAGCGTTGCTAGAGTCGATTCTAGGCGGATGTCAGTTCTAGGCTCTTAGTTTATTCAGCTGTTGGTTGTATTATTTAGCCTGGGGTTGTACCTTTGCACATTTGTGTGATTTTATCTATAAAAGCCTCTACCGTTCTCANCTAAATATGTTGACTTACTATTAAATGAAATATTGTAAAAGTTACTTCAATATTTATGAAAAAATAAAATCAAATCAAATTATACGGACTTATTAGAAATCGTGCAATTCGATTAGTAGCACGACTTTCTATATAAATAAAGTGGTATCCATTTTGAAAATTACTTTGTGATAATTATCATAAATAAAAGTCCAAATTTCCATATTAATTACGAGCCATTAGAATTTCTTATCCTTTTGGTAATCAACCATACAACATGTCTTCAAAAACAACATCTATTAAATAAGTTTTGTTTCTAGAAAACAATATTTGAATATGCACAATAAAATTGTAAATATAATTACAACAAAAATTAAAAGTCAATTATAAAAATTTAATTATGATATTTACAGATATTCTATGGTGCCCATATGGGCACCATATGGTGCCATAATCTCACGATCCAACGCCTAATATCCATTGTGGAATTGATAGAATGGATATTAGGCGTTGGATCGTGAGATTTATGGCACCATAGAATTTCTGATGATATTTATCACAACGTTATAATAGAATCTTATTTATCAACTAGTACAGAACCCGTGCGATGCACGGGGTGCACAATTTTAAGGTTATTTATCCAGACTTATAATTATATACATGAATACAGAAAAATGTACGGGATATATATAGTACGTGACCCGTGCGAGGCACGGGATATATTTATTTATAAGATGCAATATTCAATAAAAGTTTTATAATACGCAAGAAAATTATACAATAAGATAGTATTCGACAAACAAACAATCATATATTATTAAAGACCACCTTGTACACAACATTATGAGTTTGATTTTCCATACAATAATAATAAGATTTTTTGTAAAAAGATAAGAAAGAATTTTCAATCTACACAAACTTTAAACATTAGATGTATTTACGTAAATCAATGACTATATAGACAACTAAACCCTTCAATTTAGGCTTGACATCTACTTTATTTATGGGTGACGTAAAATAAGGATTTAATTTTGACCGATTAAATCTTTATTCATAGGCTTGACATATAAAACTGATTTGATGAGATTTTCTTAACTAAACCGATGCTATGGGATAAAACAAATCTATGCTTACCTTTGACTTTTCCAGCAAAGGTAAAAAAATTGGTTCTGATTTTTATCCCATAACAAATCTTAATGTCAAGCCTATAAATACCAAAACAAATCTATAATTAATATCATTCTATTTCCAGCAAGCATTAACTACCTTTGACTTTTCTGCCTACTATTTCTAGTAAATATGATGACTTTTTATATAAGTATAAATTTCATATTACGTAAAGACTGAGATCATAAAAAAGATTCCTAAAAACTGAAACAATATATTTGCATAATTTAAGGCCATTAAGAAATCGATCTCTAAACCAGATTTGATTTTCAGAATATGTTTTTTATTTCGAATTCCATACAAAATGGAATTCTTTCCAACCAATAGATGTCATAGCAAATATTAACTCTTA